CTTTTCATCATTTTATTCCTTTTCTCAGACTCCTCCTATTATTTTATTCCTTTTCTCAGACTCCTCCTATTGGTGTCTTTATCTTCCCCTGCTCGCTGTGGTGGCCTCTGGGTCAGGTTCAATGCTGGCAGCCTCTAAGGCAACACTGGGAATTATTGTTAATTTATGCATGTGCATTATTATCCAGATGCCTGTTAAATACAAAGCAAGAATTTGTTCATTTTCGGTGTGGGATCTGGGCAGAGACACTGCAGGAAAACGCGTGATTTATGTTCATCCCTACTGTTGGAATGAGTTTCACTGTGAGACACATAAAAGATTTTTAAGAAGTTCAGCCTAAAGTTTTGTTTCCTAAATCCATCTCAAACCTGCTGCAAAATTCAGTGCCCTTAGATTAATACTGGATTATCTGTGATTTATCAGATGTTCAGCCAGATTTTCAAATACGATAATTCCATCTAATTACATCSGTCTTCCTCAAGTCTGCAGCTCRCATTTRGATGTTTTAAAGAACTTYTAAGTGTTTTGCAAGTTGCTTTAGRCATGAAATTTTCTWGTTTTCTTGCACWCAGAGTCTACCCAGTGSMCTGAGAGGTGACTAAAGGTAAAAGCATTGCTCGATAAGAGCTGTGAACCCTAAAATACCTCTAAAACCTTGATGCACAGCAGACTTTTCATGTAAAACTTGTATAAAGTCACATTCTTCAGCTCCTAAATGCAGGGAATGTTGASATTTCACAGAATTTTCAGCACAGGKTTGAATTCCACCCAGGAGGTGAAATCTGCTCTGCCATGTGCTGCTTGCCATGGGTGCAGCAGAAGCTCTGCAATGATTTGTGCCCCCCTTTCTGTGACCCTGAGGTTGTGCTGCAGAGCCAGGCCTGAGCTGCTGTGATGTTCTGGTTCACAGATGTTCACAGATGTTCACAGATGCTCACAGATGTTCACAGATGTTCTGTTGTTCTCAGGTGTGATGGGTGAGTACGAGCCAAAGATCGAGGTGCGCTTTCCAGAAATCACCCACGCAGCCAAGGGCTCCTCTGTCAGGCTGGAGTGCTTTGCCCTCGGAAAGTAAGAGCTTTGTTTTTATTAAATATTATTTTTATTAAATTTATTTGGCCCCTTAAATCATTGTATTAAATGTCAGTCCTTGCACTGCTCCTTTCGCATTTGCGCGTTGGAATTGTTCTGGTCAGAGTGGGATTTGTGAATCTTGGATTTTTTTAACCTCACATTGGTTGTTTCTGTGCCGTGTGTTCCCAAGGCAATGAGACAGAACACGGTGCTGGAACTGAAGCTGGCTTGGGTGCAGCTCAGAGCTGGGGGAGGGAATGTGGGAAGCAGAGGGAAAACTGGAACAAAGGTTTTCTTTCTTGAGATGAGACCTGACTCCAGGTGATTGTACAGTCATACCTGCATCCATAAAAATAAGATTTTTTTTTTTTTTGCCTCTGTGACATCAGCACAGAATGGTTTGGCTTGGGAGGAACCCTAAGGATCATCCCTGCATGGCAGGGACACCTCCCAGTGTCCCAAGCTGCTCCCAGCCCCAATGTCCAGCCTGCCCTTGGGCACTGCCAGGGATCCAGGGGCAGCCACAGCTGCTCTGGGAATTCCATCCCAGCCCCTCTCCACCCTCCCAGGGAACAATTCCTTCCCAATATCCCATCCAAACTTACTGTTCTTCAGTTTGAAGCCATTCCCTGTGTCCTGTCCCCCCATCCCTTGTCCCTCAAGGTCACACTGAGTTCACCCCAAAGCTTCTCTTCTCCAGGTGAACAATCCCAGCTCTCCCAGCCTTTCCTCCCAGCAGAGCTGCTCCATCCTCTGCTCATCCTGGACTCTCTCATTGCTTAGAATTAACTGTGGGAATCAGATTTTGTTYGAAGTGCAATGATCTCCTGATACTCCTACCTCCAAAGCCGAGGAGCAAACCCAGCAGCAGCCCTTCCTTCAAAAAAAACCTCCATTTTCCTTGGAATAGCCTTAATTTTCCTGAGTTTTCTTCCCCTGCTGTGTCCATTCCCAGCCTCAGTGGTGGCTCAAGAGCTGCTCTGCATTCAGGGAGCACCAGGGAGCAGAATCTCTGTAACCAGCCTGCAAACYCCAGTCTTTCCAACGAGCATGGTTTTCCCTGGAAAAGCCCAAATAACCCTTAMATTGTTGACCTCTATTTAGTTTAAGTTCACTTTGACAATCCATTTTAAGGCTGTGAGCTTTTAAAGTGTTTAGAGCTTTCCCAGAGGTTAAAAGCCTGACTCGCAGACAGCACAAATTAATCAAATGTTCCACTGGAACCTACGCTGGGAAGTAGAAAAATAAAGCAAATAAAAAGTTAATAAGATTGAAATGGCCTTGCCTTTCAGATCAGATTTCTGGATAAACTAATACTGGAGCTAATTTTTATTAAAGCTACATGCACTTTTTTTTGGCCCAAAAGCAGTACCAGACTTTAGCACTCCTGCTCAAASTGATTTTCTCTTCCAAATTCTTCTCTTGAAATACCTCCCTAATTGTGTGTTAGTCCGTGCAGGCTTTACATTTCAAGTTGTCATTTCTTATTTCCATCTGTTGCGTGGAAAGCACTGAACAATGATACAGAAAAAAGCAGATAAATGAGATGTACAAAGCAGCGACATCTCAGTGAAGGGGTAAAGATGGGTCACGTTAATGTGATGTGCAGATGTTGCCATTTTAAGGGGATCTTAAGGAGGAAAAGGGGGAYTTAAAGGACATATGGATAATGAGATCCCACAGGGAACACCTTTTATGCAGTGCTCAGGAATGGCTGAGAGGGTTAATGCAGCTTTAATGTAGATTTTCCACTTCATGTGCAGGAAAGCAGTACTGCCACACTTCCCTGGAGTTATCCTGATAAAGACCAGGGATCCAYGGGCCAAAATCCACCTTCCACACCCTCTGTGGTGTCACACTGCTGATGCAGTGGAGGTGCTGCTTGGGAGCAGAGGTTCCTGAGTRGTGCCACCAGAGAATTTCTGATTTTCTCCTCTTAAATTTTATTTTTATAAGCTCAATGTCTTGCACAGAACTGCACAGATTTCAGCCTGRTTTTTTTTTCCTTCCTAAACAGAGCCTTAAACCCAATTTCTACCAACACGTCCATCAGTGGAAAAGCTTTATTTCAGAGCTGGCATTTAGACGTGAATAAAGCAAGCGAAACAGATTGCAGGTGAAACACTCTTAACTTATGAGATAAGGGCAGATTTCTGCAGGCACGCAGGTGATTAGTGGCATTGTGAAAAGCTGGAACTTTCCTGCCTCCAACCGTTCACAATTGCGGTCAGAACCATCCAAACACCGCCTGCCCCTCCGGATTCCCAAATTCCGCTGAAACCCCGGCCCCTGCTATTGTGTGTTTATGTTCAAATCAATTCCAGCCCAGCATTTGTTGAGCTGTGCCTCTGCTCTGCCACGGGAACCGGTGGTTATTATCTCACCTGGGTTTCAGAACGGCGTTCCCATTATCCGTAATTTTCTGTATTCACACTGCTCGGCCGCCGGCTCAGACAATGCCGCGGCTGCCGCTGCCCGTGAATAACAGAAATCTTTCCCACCGGAGGCAGATCATAGGCAACCCGCTGGGGTTTTGGTCTGCAAAAGTCTTAAATGAGAGTAGTTTGGGGGTATTTAGAGAAATAGCATCTCTTTTCTGTGCGGAGCAGCAAATCGCACCGATTGCGCCGCGCTCAAAAGGCGCTTCCGCAGTTCAGACGCAGCTATGAGAGGCCAGGCTTAGGGCTGAGTTTAAAACTCACCTTAAAACATCTTAAAGATGCCCTTTTTTACCGTGGGGGAACTCAAAGTCACCCAAAATGTGCCCCTGAGGGACACCCTGGGGTGTGCATTCCATGTAGTTCTGTTGTGAAGCTCTTTTCCCATTTCACATTAAAATATCCCAAATGGTTTTTCATATCATGTACTGACCCCATAAATTCCTCTTTTGAGGAAAATAAAAGGGTGCAAATATCAGAATTTATCCCTGGAAAGAGGGTTTGGAGGGATGGATCCCAAATGGATGAAGGTTCCCAGGCCGGTTTTTGACTTTGAACCTTATTTTGTAGAGCAGACCCCAAAAATAGGACAGAAGATTTTGGAAAGGAAATTGGTGTTCACTGTGATGGAAATATAATAATAATAATTAAAATATAATACAATAAAAATTGCAGCTCTCTGATGAAACAGAACAGGCAAAAAACTGCACCTTTCTCTTAATCCTTTAAAAGAGGGAAAACTGAAATATGAAATAGTGGCCTCAGTATTTCAAATCCTGCAGCCTGTGGCAGTTTAATGGAAGAGATGAGACTTTGTGTTCTGCACCAATATTCATTATGATGACAGTGTTTAATATTATGCCAGTATTAAAAGTCCTGCTTTGGATCAAGCTCGATTAATCATGCCATATATCCAAATTATTGTTCCCTGTCTTTYAGGGGATTGAGCACCATGGAAAGAATTATGTTCAGTTGAGTTATGCTGCACTGCTTTCTGTAGATTTCTCTCAAAATAACTTTTTTTTTCCTGTTGCACAAATAAGAATGGTCCCTGGAATGAAAATAAGCAAAGTAGTTTCCATGTCTGGTGCACATATTTATTAAACTGTGTCTGTGGTTTATGTTTTTCTTCATTCCCTTCTCAAAGAAAAGGAAATAATCAGCTCAGAATCCCTGCAGATGGGCTGTTGCCAGCTCAGGTCGTAAAAAGCATGTGTGAATAATATAAAAAACAAGATTTCTTTCACCCCACAATATTCCTTTTCCATGGTAAGATCCCACCTATTCCTCTAAACGCATTCATGGAAGGGTTTTTTCCAGCAGCTCTTGGCATAAGTAGATAATCACACAGCTCTAAGGGGGTTCCAAATAACCATTTTTATTAAATTTACATAAAAATCCCAGGCTTCACCTCTGGTGCATTCTCAAGTTGGTTGTGTGGGAGGCTTTCAAAGGATCGATTGCAGGATTCTGAAATTGCAGATATGGGAATGACTCGTGGCTCTGCAAGCCAAGTTTGCTGCTCTCAGCCCCATTTCTGAGCAAACCAGAGCCCGAGGATTTGTTCTGTCAGGGATCCCCTCTCACCCAGGTCACACCTTGCAGACAAGTGCTGCACTCAGGGAATCCATCAGGAGGATCCAAAGTGAAATATTTTAATTACGGCGCTCCTCAGATCCCAATTCCTCCTGGCATCAGCATCTTCTGCAGTTCAGCTCAGGCTCATTTCTCTAACGAACCATGGGACTCATTACCCAAAATGCAGATTGGATTTCCTTTTGAAGGGCCCCCAGATGCACAGGACAAAAGATGAGGCTCTCTCCCCATGCATCATCTTTGCTGGGARAGGTGGATCCTCCCTCGTGCCGTGGGTTCTCATTCTGCAGACAAATTAATTTCGCGTTTGCCGTGACAAGGCTTGTCACCAACCACGAAATATTTTCCATCTCCTTTTCTTTCCCAGTTAGTAACTTATGGTTTGGTGATTCTGCCGCCTGGATGGTGGAATATAAATTAAATTAGCGCTCCTAGATGCTCTGAAGGTTTCAAATAAACTGCAGATTTATGTACTAAGACGCTCTCATATTTATGCACTGTTTTCTTATTTACTCAGGAGGAAGCCAGACTTTGTCTATGAAGTGTAATAAATTTGGGAAGTGCACTCATTGTTTCTTTATGTATTGCAAAACTTTTTAGGCCCAAGCAGTTACTTGGTTTTAATCTGGATATTGGGAGGGATTGAATGACAAAAAGAGCAGCCTTAACAATCCTGTGATTCTGTGCCAACACTTCTGGAGGAGGCAGCACTTTCAATAATTCATTCTGGAAAAAACAAACCCTTACAAATTTCCTAGGAAGGAATAGTATTAAACGAGTTTATATCTGAAATAGTTTTTGGTCTCATTGCAAGGAACAATTAATAAAGGTGGTGGTGGCAGTGGTTGTTGTCCAGAAAGATCTGGAATTTTTACAGCTTGAACCAAAATGAGCACGAGCAGAATAAAATCTCAGTTGTTTTTTGCAGCTCTTTCTCTGCTTGACATTCCTGTTTGTGGRAAATTGTCCCGAGAACTCACATTTCTCCCAAATCCTGGTTCTTCTTGCTTAGAGGGAACTTGTGAACATCCCAGACTCAAAATGCAGAAATCAGGCCCAGGCTTCCTGAATTATTAAGAAATTAATCCATTCTCCATTTGTGATTTGATTGCTTTGTTCAATAAACAAGGACTTGAATTTAAATAATTGAAGGTGCGAGCAGTTACAGTCTCTGCTAAAAAGGAATAAATTCTTTGTAAGTTAGCACTGCRGGCAGAGACCTTGGAGACTGGAAACACAGACTTTTAATTTCCATGAAAGTTGTGTTTTCAATTGCTGATGCTACTTCCAGTGGAAAAGAAGTCAGCAATCAGCCAAAGCCTCTGTAAAAACTGATCAAATTTGAAGTTGTTAGAAAAAGCAACTTAGTTCAGTTTGCAGAAACAGCAAACAACTGTGAAATCCAAGACTATTAATATTTCAAAGTGTTTTGGTGACATAATAGATCATGAAAGTGAGGCTGGTGTGGTTTGTGATATTACCAGAAATCCAAGAGGTATTTATAGCTGCCTTCACACTTCACTGTTCTTTGTTGTATGGGATACGTTGATCCAAAAATAAATGGAAATGATTAAAAGCTTAAAAAAAGAAAGAAATATTCCTTTTTGTCTCTATCTCCTTCCAGCCTCAATGTTTTGTTCTTTCCTCACTCAATTCTCTGTCTCTTCTTTACGCTGGCTCCCATTTTTTATATTTAGATTTATTGGTATTTTTAGATCTTTTGAAATCTTGGCCAATATTTCCTATTTGGGGATATAAAAATACTTTTAGTGCTACAGGGAATTTGTTTGCTGGGAGAATCAATCAATAATTCAGTACTTTTGTGGTGTTTATTTGGATTTGCCAAGTTGTTCCTTCAATGGCACAGGGCTTAAAAACAGGTTTGAGCCCCAAGTAAGGGTCACTAAGGGGAAAACACAAACTTTCCAAAGGAAAAACATTGAATTGACTGAAGACTTCATCCCACTGTTGGCCTTGTGCTCCTAAATAAATTTAATGTGCAAAAAAATCTCAGTTTTATCATGAACCTCTGTATGTCATGCTTAGAAATTATTTATTTTTTAAGAACAGTGCCACTCTCACGCAAGGATTTGACATTCTTTTTCCTTTGCTCTCTCATTTTCTCTACTAAACACAATTCTTTAGTCCTGTCCCAAGTATCAGCTGGAAGAGGTCTGATGGAAACCCCTTTTCAAAGAAAATCCAACCCAACAGAACCAGAGGAGTTCTTGAAATCCCCGACGTTCAGCAGGAGGATGAGGGCTCCTACGAGTGTACCGCAGGAAACACTCGGGGAACCAACGTTGCCAGAGGTCAATTATTTGTCTATGGTAAGCAGATTAATTTAATTGCAGTTTTTAATGAAGAACAGGGTGTTTTGCAGATGTTTTTTTTTGCAGATGAAGCCTCGCAGCCCCTCGCTGGAGGTGGAAGGTGCAGGTTGGGTTAAGCTGATTGAGAACTATCAGGGGCTCTCGGTGACCTTCACTGCATCACAACCACAGCAAATGAAGATATTTTACACCAAAGCTGGGATTGGAAACGTGGGCAGTGCCCTGATGAAGTTGGAAAGGTTAATGAAAGGCAGAGAGATATCCCTGTACATTTCCATGACATGTTGAAGGCGGGGAGGGATTCAGAATGCAGCAGCAGAGGCAGAGCACGGATGGACTCAGGATCCTTCAGTGAAGGTGATTTCATCTCCTGCTCCAGCTGAGCTCTACTGTCCCATAAACAGAGGAGAACAAAGCAGAGAAACTCATCCCATTCCTCCSTCTCCTTCCAGTCTGGATAAAAGAATAATCTGGGAAACTCTTCTCCTCTCCTCGTCCCTTCCCGTGTGCATTAATTTCCCGTCACACGGGACGGTCCCTCACAGCCAGGCTGAATTATGGCCTCTTTAGTCCAATTGTTAACACCCARGGAAAGAGACATATTTTGACAGGAATAAGAGCAGAGATCTTTTCTTTGCCTCATAAATCTTTCAAAGGAGAAAGCAAAAAAAAAAATTAAACACAGCAGCGAGGAGAAAAAAAAATCACAGCAAGCGAGACTGAGCCTCCAGTTAACATCTGTTGAGAAGGCTCTGGCAAGTATTTTCCTTTTTCTTTTTTTAAGTAAATCTCTTCTAATGAAGAGATGCAGGCTTTGCTGATAAGCTACCAGGCTCCTGCAGCCATGGCTAATATTGAGATGTATGCCAGGAATAGAACAGTCTGCTGCTGGTTTAAATATTTCATTATTTCCTTGCTTTCAGGGGGTAGTTTTTGCTCTCATTGCACACTGATTTTTTTCACCACATCAATCAAGCAGTTCTATTAAAATTAAGTTCACTAGATTACCTGGACATGATTGATAACGGCACAGGCAATTATAAAATTATGATCAGTTAATTCAATCTAAAACAATGTGCTTATTAACTGTGCTTTGTACATTAATTAAGAGCTGCTCATGGTGAAATGTATAAACAGCGCTCACAAAGCCTTGGCATGAGGTTTTTTTGTCAGATTAGGAGCRTGCTGGTAAATTATCTCTGTAATTGATTCCCTCTTGCTCCTTTTCTGTTTTCTGGGGTTTTCCTCTGGAGGAAGGTTKTCTCCAAGAAATGGGGATTCTTTTCTGGACACTGCTTTGGGTGTGACCCCTCCAGCCCATGCTTTAGGCTCTGGGAGCAGCAAAAATTACATGTAATAAAAATTGATTTTAAGAAAGTTGAACTCCATCCGTGTAGAATCTTGGAGAACGTAAAGAGGCTCAGATTTTCTTCAGAGAAAGACTCCTCAGAAATGAGGACGTGCTTTCAATAACCATATCCTCAATTTCAGGTATCTAAAATTCCTATTTCTCCAAATTTAGGCCACAAAAATGGATAAAATCTTAACCAAACTGCCTGTCTCTGAGGCACTCATTTCTAACATTTTCCCCACCTTTCCCCAAAGTTTAATGTCAGGGAATTGTAGAGAATTCATTTGCAGCATAGTAAAAATGTGTTGAACAGATATTAATTAGCCCTGCTCGGTTCATTAATTAATGGTAGCATACCTSAAGCAAAATCACTTTTCTCCTGCTTAAAATGATTTGCATTTTCTTTGCAGCACCCCCTGAATGGGAAAAAAAAATCCAAAATGCCTTTCTGTCTCTCTATGACAGTTTATTTTGGGAATGTAAGGCAAGAGGAAAACCCAGCCCTTCCTACAGCTGGTTAAAAAATGGCCAGCCCCTCATGTCAGAGGTAAGATTCTTGTTGTCTTGGTTGATTTCTTCCTCATATTTTTTGAGTTTTTAAAATTCTTTATCCATAACATTAATTTCATAGTACATTAATTAAGTTWCCCAAAAACTAAGTAAAGATTAATGTTTCGAAATAAATATAATAGCACAAACTCTTTGCAACACACAGCCTCGGGTTTTGGACTTCATCTTTATTGGAAAAGCATGAAATTGCAGTTTAGAGAAACACCAATTTCTTCATGTGAATTATCTAATTACTACAAGATAGGGCTGTAGGTATAGAAGAGCTTAAAAATAGGAATTACAGTTGGTGAAAGAAACATTAAATACATTTGTGGTTGTAATCTGCAGTTTGGGGAACTGTTAGGATGCCAAAAGACTGGAAGAACATTCCCAAGCTGGAATTGAAAAATGCTGAGCCTCGAATTGCACTTTTCTGTTGTTTCTGTTCGCAATCAGCAGCTGGGGGACCCTGCTCTCCTGCTGAGTTAATCCTTTAACTTCATTAATGTCAGCTCTGGAAATCTGCTAATTTTGGGAGGAATATTTTCTGGTGCTCTGTAGAGGGATGATCAAGCACAGAAAGCCATATAAAGGTRTAAGGAAGAGATGGACAAGTGCAAAATGTCCCTTAAAAGGACCAAGAAGGGGAAATTTGGAGCTCAAACATTTGAAATCCGTGATCAGATTCTTCATTAGCCAGATCTCAGAGAGCCCTGAGCTTCCAGGCACAATTCCTGCATTTTTGTGGTGGCCAAGCTCTGGCACATCCACCCTCCACCCTTCASCTGTTGGCACTTCAGTGACAAGAGGATCTTTGAGTTCTGCTGAGGCCAAGTTTCCCTTTTTTATTTTTATTTTTGGACCATCCATCCAGCATCTCTGGGGCACACGATGGCTCATCCGTGAGGCATTTTTCACTTGGATGGGAAAAAATAATACTGTGATTAATTCCTGTCTAGCAAGAACGCATACAGGAGAATTTCCAGAACATATGGGCTAAATTAGCACCTGCTGGGCTGCAGAACCAGCTCTTATTTGATTTGGTAACATTTATTTGAAGAAGTCAGAGTGGGGTCCAATCTTCCATATCATTTTCTGCTGGAGCAGTCCTAAACAGACCCAACCTGCATCTGAGGAAAATAGCCAGAATTTACCTGGATTGCAGTTTTTCTGAACCTGCTCGTTGTCACCTCTTTTTGAGCAAGATTATCTCGTGCCTCTCTCTTTGAAGGCAGCAATATTTAGAGTCTGTCACTCTTCAATTGCGCCGCTTCAATAAAGAAGAATGAGGTGCTCGACAGATGCATTTTCCACCAACGTTTTCCCAGYACTTACAGTGGGCTGTAAATGAAATTCTTCAGGCAACAAAACGCTGGATTCTATTGCTCAATGGGCAGAATGGGCATTTGGAGGGGAAAGTACAAGGGAAATGTAATAAAATATTCAGTTGGAATTCTCCTAGGAAGAATAACATGCAGGTGCTTTTCACCCTGGGGTTGATTCTGATTGTCTCCTCTCTGTCAAACCTCTCTGCCCGACCACCTGGCTGGTCAGCCCAGCATTATTCCTGCTCGTGTACACAACGTGCTTCATTCTTCGCTTTGTCTGAGCGGCTCAAAGGAGCTCAAAGGGGAATTTGGGATGAGTGTGGAACACCAGTCTCGCTTCAGAGAGAGGTTTTGTATTCAAAGAGTGTTTGTAAAAATAGAATGCATTGAGAGGACAGCAAACAGCCCGGAGGTAAAACTAAGTATGCAAAAGATATCCGTGGCGAGAGCCTTGGAAAAAATTATCGGCGGCTAAGGAATGTAATGTTGTTAATTAGTTTGCCACACACCAGGCACGCAGCCCCAGGCTGTGCTCTCATCACATTTCTGAGCTAAACAAGCTTGGGCTGGGTCAGTTTGTCGTTGGGAGATCTCCAAGGCAAAGCTGGAATTTTGGAAAACAAGCCCGGGGTGTGTGTGATGGTGCCCAGGACCCCCTGAGCCCCGGGCAGCAGGAAAGGGATTGGGATTGGGATTCTGCCCCACTCGGGTGAGACCCAGCACAGGAGGGACCTGGAGCTGCTGGAGAGAACCCAGGGGAGGCTCCAGGATGAGCAGAGGATGGAGCAGCTCTGCTGGGAGGAAAGGCTGGGAGAGCTGGGATTGTTCACCTGGAGAGGAGAAGCTTTGGGGTGAGCTCAGTGCCTGAAAGAAAGACAGACAGAGATGATGGACAAGGGACGGAGCAACAGGACAACAGGGAATGGCTTCAAACTGCCACAGGGCAGGGTTAGATGGGATATTGGGAATAAATCCTTCCCTGTGAGGATGGGGGGCCCTGGCACAGGGTGCCCAGAGCAGCTGTGGCTGCCCCTGGATCCCTGGCAGTGCCCAAGGCCAGGCTGGACATTGGGGCTGGGAGCAGCCTGGGATAGTGGGAGGTGTCCCTGCCCATGGCTGGGGTGGCACTGGATGACCTTTAAAATCCCTCCAACCCAAACCATTCTGGGATTTTGTGACAGACCTGTTCATCCTCTGACTCCAGACTCTCCCATTCCTGCTGCTGAGGACTAAAGGAGCAGCAGCATCCTCCCAGTGAGATTCGCTGTTCAGACTCGTACTTGGTGATGGGATTTACATTCCCCATGGGTGTCTTCCAAACTCATCTGTTTTGGGGAATGTTTTTTTATTTTTTTCCCCCTCAGCGCTACACTTTGCATTTCAGCTATTATTGCCTCCAGAGGGTAGTAATTGTAAAATCACAAGATATTTTGCTTTAAGTTATGATTGCAGCATGAAACAGGCTTTTTGCTGTTTTCCAAAACAGAGCAAGCAAAACTTCTTCTAACACACCAAATTCCAAGCTCGGGTCCAAACACACCCAGTGTGCAGCTTCCTCTCTTTGAGCAGAACTGCTGAGGGAAGTTGGTGTGTRTARAAACACAAGCCTGGAGGARAAATCTCTTCCTGTGCTCTCAGCAKCTGCCTGGGGCTTTCCAATGGCAATTTCAGAGGAGCTTTTCCAATGGAGCTTTCCCAGTGATTGATTTTTCTGTGATTTGTGGTGTGACAATGTCCAAAATGTTCCTGTTATTGGAGCAGCTCTGTCCCCTGTGGAGCTTTTCTGACCACCTGAGGTTGTCACCATCAGATTTATCTGCTGGGGTGATGTTCCACCACGTCCCCAACCAGGGGTGAGGGGCTGCTCCATGGGATCCAGGTGGAAAATACTCCCAGGGTGGAAGGAGGGATACCCGCCCTGGGGTAGCTCCTCCTGTGCCACCTCCATGGTGAAGGATAACCACAGATTCCCGGCTCAGTGCAGAAAAACTCAGGGAAAACCTGGAAAAACCCACCCAAAGCAATTCCCACATTTCCTGAAAAGATGGRAGAGCTCAGAGGGCTGAAAACCCAACCACCACCATAGGACACATCCTATTTCTGATGTGTTCACCCACATCACTCCTGAAAAAACAACATTTCTGCTCTGAGTCACCATCAGGTGCATCAGTGTGATACTCAAAACCCTTTTATTTGTTCGCTCATCGGCTCTGCCAATGTTTTTTTCCTTGTTTTTCTCTTCTCAGGAAAGAATTCAAATAGAAAATGGGACTCTSCTCATCCCCATGCTGAATGTGTCAGACTCAGGCCTCTATCAGTGCGTGGCAGAAAACAAATATGATACAATTTATGCCAATGCTGAGCTGAGGGTGATTGGTGAGTAAATGGCACCAAAATGAGCAGGTACCCGGTAAAAAGTACACTCATTGAAAAAAAAAATTCAATTAAAGAAAAGTGGAGATGAAATTCTACCTGGCAGCTCAAACATGATGATATTTCTCTGCTCTTCACATGGAAATACGTGGTTTTCTTTTTGGTTTAGTTTCATGGCTTGTTTGGGTGAAGAATCTAATCCGTGTGTGGTGGTTTTTTTATCACACCTTCACCAGTTTAATGAATGCTGTTTCTCACTGAGTTTTGGGTTATTAATGGTTATTCTGCAAGTTTTAAAAGGTATTTCAGAAATCAGGGGAAGGAGTTCTAGCTCTAAACAAAGATCATATGGCAAATATGGACATAAACAAATAACACGGAACAGGGAATCTCATTAATGATAACCAGAGATGAACATGAATAGAATTTGCCCATAAATTACAAAAGTATTCTGTTCTAGATATCCAAAAATAAAGTTTGCTAAACATACTCAATTATGACTGAACCCAGTAAAACACAGACTTTAGGAGCGCCCAATGTCTTGCATTTTCTCCTTCTCCAAGAGTGAATTTTCACATMAACTACTGGAAAAACAAATATATTTTCAGAAAGGAGTGTAGGTTTATCATAGAATCATAGAATTCTGTGATAAACCATATTCTTCTGAAAAGAAAGCCATAGTAAAAGTGTTCTTGTAATGGAGCAGTCTCTGCAGATGAACACAGATGTGGCTGGCTCTGCAGTGGGAAGTTTATTCTGCTGACACAGCTTTGCTTAGCAATCTCATTTTCCATCACCTTTTCTCTCAGTCTCCAGATTCCCTCAGGAAAATTGGTGAGAGCACACAGTTCTAGGTAGACAGCTCAAAAACAGAATTAGAATTGGAATTCTTTGGTACTTGGATACATTTTTATTGTTAGATTTAGATTTACTTCCGCAGAAATCTAAACCCCAAAACAACTGTTGAGTTCACTGACTGAAGAATTTGACGAGTTCATTCAGCAMYGTGTCAGCTGCATTCTGCTCTCCYCTCTCYCCCTTCTCTCCCTTCAGCTGCAGCCCCTGATTTTTCCAGGAATCCTGTGAAGAAGCTGTCAGTTGTTCAGGTTGGAGGGGAGGTCACCATTGCCTGCAAACCCAGTGCTTCCCCCAGGGCTGCTGTTTCCTGGAGAAAGGGCTCGGAGCTTCTGCGTCCCAACCAAAGGTAAAGGCAGTGATCAGCAGCAGAGTCGTGTGATCCTCTCTGTTTTAACCTCATTTCAAGATCAGGATTGTGACAGGGATGTCAGATGAAAAACTGCAGAGTTTTCAGTGCCTCTCCTTCCTTTGGAAACTCATTTGGAACCTCTTGATCAGGTTTGTCCCCAGGTTTTGGGACTGTGTGCCCCAAAGTTGTGAGGTCAGGAGGGAAGGCAATGTCACAAAAAGTGGGATTTTTGTAGGCAGTTGGGTTTGTATAGGGATTCACTTCCCTCCTGGAAACCTGGGGAYAAAAATTGCAAAATATTGAGGAGTGCTTGTTATGGGTTAATGAAATAACAAAGCTCATTAAAAAATGGGAGCTTTTGACAGCTCATTGATGGAAAACTCACCTGCCAGAGGCCTCTTTGTCTGTAGGGCAGCCATGGGGTTCCAGCAGGATTTGGCCCTGGCCCAGCACCTGGAACACACCCTCCCCGGCTGCTTTGGGCCATGTGGGCTGTGGTGAGAACCAATTCCTTATTTCTGAGTTACCAGGAACCATCTCCATTATTGTATTTCAATGTTCTCATGCACAGAGTGGGATTATTGGGGTGGACAATCCCTGTGGAGTTGGACTCCCTGATCCCTSTGGGTCCATCCCAGCTCAGGCTGTTCCTCARTTCTGTGATTCCACACTAATGGCARTTAAATGGTGAAATATTAAAATCRAAGGGTGGTGCTGACAGGAATGATGAATATTATATGCAACACACAGCCCTGGGGATATTTCCACACGCAAATGGGGACAGATGGATGAAATGGGCAGCAGTGCCTTCAGAAGTGCTGAGAACGTCTGAGAGCCCTCCTCAGCATCTCTCTCAGCTCCCAAACAGAACAGTGACCCTCTTTTGTCACATTCTGTTGTCAGGCTCGGAGAACTGTAATCAGTAATTCATAAAGCTCTGGAAACTGAGCGCCAGATTTTGCACACAGGACCAGTTGCTCAAGGAGGTTACTTTGGGTCACATCAGAMTTAAAATGATTATAATTCTCTCAAACATTATCCCAAAGGGTGATAAAAGAACTGGTTCCCTATGCCATGCTGCAGGAATGTACAGTGGAGATAAATCACATGAGTATTTATGAAAGAAAGTGCAAATCTGGGAATTTTATAGGTGCTGACAAGGGAACAAGGAAATTTGGGTGAGCAGTCCATCCCATGGACACAGAAAACTTCCATTGACTCTTCTCCCCTTTCAATAGTGGCAATTTTATTTCCATTTGAACCGCTCACGATGAAAAGCATTCTTCTAACTAGCATTTAATCAAATCTTTATTTGTATTTCGATTGTATTTCGATTACATGGCCTGTTCCAGAGGCTGAACTAAGCCTGGATCCCGACTTTCCACTACTCTGACATTCCCTGATCTACTGATAAAAAAAATAAAAAAAATAAAAAAAAAAAAAAAAAATTTACCCACTCCACACAGTATTTACCTGTGCTCCTGTATGAATTTACCAACAATAATTCCGAGCACACTGTAATTCCTGAGTGTCCCAGAAGCAAACAACAGGAGCAGGATTTACAGAAGGAGGCAGTGCTCAAATTCTCGTTATTGCCGGGGTGGCACTGGTGCAAAATGGGATGGACGAGGCTGTTTGATTATTGAATGACAAACTGGTGAATGCTGTGCTTTAAAGGGAAGGGAAATAAATCATCTCTCYGACAGAAAGCAAAATGAGAGAAGGGTTTGTGTGGCCGTGAAGCACGTGGCTAATTAAAGAGCTGAAATTGTACATCTCTGTGCTCGTAAAGAGAGAGGGAACGTGGTCTGCCTTCCTCTGTGGATGTGATTAAACCCYGACAAACCCTGATTTCTGCTCCCATTTTATCTTGCTGCAAATACAACCTTTATGGGCTCCTTTATTGGCCTGTTAAAAAAAATATTTGGTGGGGTTATAGATGGTAAAAAAAGGAAAAACCAACCTCACACAGTTCTGACAGCCAAACATTCCTAAATAACTCAGATTTTTGGAGTGATTTAGACAAATTCAATCTTTTGTTAAAGAAACAGTGAAACCACACTTATTCCACCCAAAGGGGGAAGAATATTCCTTCTTTTTCACCTTTTTCCTTTCACTTCTGATACTTTATTCCTGATACCCCTGAATATATGATAACCACTCTCCCTGATCAGCTGAACTCTTGATAAGACAGAAGAACTCAGCTTTATGTTAAATTCAGTTTGTAAGTGTACAAATTGTGCTAAATAGGAACACTTATTAATAGATTATCCAATATTAAAAAATGCACCATTTAATATTTTTTTTAATTGGATTTCCTCTAAGGTTTTTGTTTTGTTTTGTTTTGTTTTGTTTTGTTTTGTTTTGTTTTGTTTTTTATTCAAGCAATTTTAAGTTTTCAAAGCTGCAATGTTTGGGCCCTGCTGTCTGAAAAACACCTTCCAATTTTTTTAGGGCAGAGTTTCCTCCAGCCCCACTTGTCTCTCCCATCCTTTCTGTGGCTCAAACACATCATTGCTCAGCTCTTCAGCAGCTTGTCTSCTCTAATTTCTGTAAGAGATTTTATTGCACTTGAAGCACAGATGTAAATCCTGCAGAAAATGCCAAAATAATCATTTTCTTTACATCAGATGGTGAAATAAAGCCTGAACATACCAGTACCAGATCCACTCATTGTTCCCAGCCCTCTCCATTGATTGTTCTCCTTCCAAATTTTCATAAATAACCCCATTCCACCCTYACTGATGKGGYTTATCCCCTRAATACTGGGATKTAGCCATGGTCTGTGCTGCTGGCMYMTTAGAGAGGGAATTCCAGGTTATCAGCAATAGGAATACCAAAGAAATCCCACAGCTGGTGATTCTGGCAGGTTTTCCCTGCTCCTTCCTCCCATGATCCCAAATCAGCTCGTCTGGATCACCCAGCTCAGCTCAGGGGCTCCCTTGGGTGCTCACCCCATTTTTTGGGCCACAATCTGGAGAAATGAGGTTTGGGGGGCAATGCCACTTCTCCAAGGGACAAAAGTTTGGGCCTTTGAGGAATAAATGACTTTTCCTGGTGTGTGCTGTCGGTTTTAGCTCCAAATAGGAATGAAGCACAACAAAAACCTGAGTTTTGTGCTCCCRACTCCTCCCCGTGGAGTCTGACACAGATCTCAGCTATTTTCATGTGTGTCACATCCTCAGCACACGCAACAGGAGCTTTCTTCATCTCACTTCTCGCTTCTCTCCCCTCGTAGCCACCGAGGAAAAGGAAGAGAAGAAAGGAACAATTCATATATTAAATAAAACAAATTTTCCAGTCTAGACACTGATCTCATCTGCCTTCAGCGAATTCCGATCTGGGCCCCTCATGGAAAACTTCTTTCACAAAAAAACTCCTTTTGATGGAAGGCATTTTAATAAATGGGAATTGGGCCTGGTTTTGCTTTGCCAGGGAGAGGTGCTATTCCCCCAGCATGGGCAGAGAATGCATAGGAACATATGGGATTGGCTTCACTCGGAATTTCAATGAGCAGAGCTGAGGGGAAGCTGAGAAATGAGGTAGGCTGGAAGAATGCATTAGTCATATACAGCACTTTCCATGCATTAATAATCAGTAATAAGCAAATATTCATAATTTAAATTGTTTTCTGGGGCCTGGGCAAGGAGTGTGTTTAGGGATTATAAAATATGCTCAATGCTTGTTGGCTCCCAGAGTGGTTTGTAGGACGCAGTTCAGTCCCAGCTCTCTGAAGGATGGGAACGGCTCCTCTGCCACAATAAAGCTGAATTTTCTGTCCTGTGGCAYGCTTGGTTTGGGTGTTTTACACTCAATTCTTGCATTACTTAGAGGAAAACAATGAGAAATCCCTGTACTCAGGGGAACCCTATCAGTAAGGGTGGAATGGGGTTATTTATGAAAATTTGGAAGGAGAACAATCAATGGAGAGGGCTGGGAACGGTGAGTGGATCTGGTACTGGTGAGTTCAGGCTTTATTTCAACATCTGATGTAAAAAAATGATTATTTTGGTATGGGAAAACAATGGAGCACCAACATGAAAAGCTGTATTTCAACAACAAAGAAAATGTGTGTGCAAAGAAAATGAAGCAGATGTTGGGGAGAGGGAATTATCTGGGAATTGTTGAGTTCTTGGAGCTGCCCCTTGGATCCTCAGACTCGAGGGGCTCTCCTGCTCCAGGTGAGCAGCCAGGACCCAGCAGGGTTCTGTAGGATTTGTTCACAGCCTGCAGGACCTTTCCCCATCCCACTCTGAGCACTCAGGGCCCCCTCTGCTTGTGCTTCCTTCTGCTCCTCCACTGTTCCCTGCCAGATCCCAAAACCATTATAAACCTTTTTGTTATCAGGGAAAAGGCTTGGTTTGTTTCTGTGGGTGGAATTAGGCAAACAGGGAGTGGACTGAGGGGATTTTGGGGTGACCAGGGGCTGGACTGGGTGATCCTCGTGGGTACCTCCCAGCTCAGCCTATCCTGTGATTATTTGGGAAATGAGAAAAATCCTCAATCTCCTGATCAAACACAGCACACAAAAGGTATTGTCTGTGAAACAGCATTTCCCACCAATTGGAGCAGAAATGTGTCAGGACAGTTCAGCAAACTTCAGGGAAACATTTCAATTACCAGAACGTCAGCGTTGTTGGTTCAGCTTCAGAATATCAGTTATCCTTAAAAAATAAATTTAAAAAAATCTGCTTGTGGGGGAATCACGACCAAATGGATAGAAAATTCCAAAATTTGCACTAGTCTGCTAACAAAGGARGAGATGGATGGCACTTGACTGTGCTTCAGCTGAAGTCAATATGCAGCCTAAGGAGTTATTTACTGCTCCTTGGCAGGTGCATCCCTCCCTGATGAGACACCAAAGTTAGATGAGCAAAGCTGGGGGAGTGAAACCCATCCAGAGTTTCTCTGCTGCCTTGGAGTCAGAGCAGAGGAGTAGCACAGGCAAAGAGGAGCTTTGCTTGCTTTCCTCACCCACTGCCTGCACATAAAAAAAA